ACACCAACTTGATTTTTCTCATCTTCCACAGAATAATTGAACCCCTGACCTCAAGATGTTCAAAATTCCGCTTCAAGCCTCTGTCAGATAAAATTCAACAGCAGCGATTACTAGACATTGCTGAGAGGGAAAATGTCAAAATTAGCGATGAGGTAAGTACCAGTTATTACAATTATCAGGGTTTCTAGTTCTTTCCATGAATGCATATAAAGAGGCCCTGAGTTAAATATGTATTGCCTCAGTCCTGATGCCAGTTCTTCAGACAAACTTAAGCTAAAGGAGCAACAGTTGAAATGTCTAGGAATTACAAGGTTTGGTCTTTATATTACTTTTTGAGTTAATTCTCTTAATATTTCAGAGACCCACAACTGAGGTGGATTTCATACATATAATGCAAATTCTGCAACATAAATCTCTACGTGATGACTAGATTTTAGTCTTCTAAGCTAATACTTTAGTACTTCCCTAAAATTGACAGAAGCATAAGGCCCTTATTCATTATAACAGAATTTAACCATAATTTGAATTTGCTTTATATGAGCAAGAAAATGGGATGAATATGGAACATTTTTTCATCTCCGCAAATTTCTTTCAGAAGCAAGAGATCTCTATTCTTCCATTATGCTGATGTTGTCTCTCCATAACTTCTGCCCCGTAGGACTGATCATGTTCCCTCCCAAAACAAATGTTTTTTTCTCATTAACTCTAGACTAAAACATAGGGTTTTCACTTTTATTAAGCATTTTAATTTTTGAGACAGTCTTACTCTGTCGCCCAGGCTGGAGTGCAGTGGCGTGATCTCAGCTCACTGCATCATCCTCCACCTCCCAGGTTCAAGCGATTCTCCTGCTTCAGCCTCCCGAGTAGCTGAGACTACAGGCATGTGCCACCACGCCGGGCTAATCTTTTGTATTTTTAGTAGAGACGGGGTTTCACCGCGTTAGCCAGGATGGTCTGGAGCTCCTGACCTCATGATCCGCCTCCCTAGGCCTTTCAAGGTGCTGGGATTACAGGCGTGAGCCACAGCACTCGTCCCCTATTAAACATTTTTGAAGTCATAAATCCTTAATTGACCTTCATAGGTTAAGAACAACTCTTTTCTCTTCAGGGAATAGCTTATCTTGTTAAGGTGTCAGAAGGAGACTTAAGAAAAGCCATTACGTTTCTTCAAAGTGCTACTCGATTAACAGGTGGAAAGGAGATCACAGAGAAAGTGATTACAGACATTGCTGGGGTAAGAGTACTGGATATTCTGAATTTTAGTTGGCTTTTGTGACTTTTAAGAAATTTTCATCCAGCTAATACCGAATGTTTAGCATGTACCAAGTACTGCACTAGGTATAAGGGAACAGCCTGGGAGTATCAGTGTTTCAGGTGAGGAGATAACGCTGACTTTTCAGATTGTCAGGCATGTAATAGACATTTCAGGAAGGAAAAGGACACTTTGATTTCCTCTATTTTTTTTTTTTTGAGATGGAGTCTTGCTCTATTGCCCAGACTTGATTGCAGTGACACAATACCAGCTCACTGCAACCTCCACCTCACAAGTAGCTGGGATTACAGGTACCTGCCACCACATCTGGCTAATTTTTCTATTTTTAGTAGAGATGGCATTTCACCATGTTGACCAGGTTGGTCTTGAACTCCTGACCTCAGGTGATCTATCTGCCCCCACCGCAACCCACCTCGGCCTCCCAAAGTGCTGGGATTGCAGGAGGTGGGAGCCACCATGCCTGGCCTTCAGTTTTAGATTTTATGAGATGCTTTTCTTTGGCAGTTGAATCAGTTTTAGCAGATGTCCTGTTCTTATAGGTGAAAACTATTTTGCCAGTTGTATATAAACAAAAGGCGTATCCAATTTATAGTGATATTAATAAAATGGAGCACTCCATCTGTCTTTGGATACCCATGTCAAAACTCACCTCAGAATCACTACTACTTAAAAATTTAAGATTAATGGTAATCCTCTTTAATTTTCAGATATTGCAGACTTTTTAAACCATTATTAGTGGCATTTTTACTTGGCGAAAATTTTAGAAAGTCACTGGGGGAAAACTTAATGTTCATCCACTGACCAGAACAAGCTGTAATAATCACTTGGGCCGATTGTTTCATATGTCACAAAGCAGCCATGAAAGGGCTTTACAAACACAGCTGTTATCACCTTGGTTGCTTAGTAACTGGAGTTACTCTGGTCCTCCCTTTTCATTCTCCCAGTGCCTTCCCAACTTTGCAGCATTAACAGGACATTAGCTAGGTATTCCAAGTGTGGAACAGAAGGGACTGAGGTCAGGGAGGTGAATTTGCATTCTGTCTAGTCTTAACGTTTAATTACCTAGGTAATACCAGCTGAGAAAATCGATGGAGTACTTGCTGCTTGTCAGAGTGGCTCTTTCGACAAACTAGAAGCTGTGGTCAAGGTAAAGTCAGCTTACTAACTTTTGGGCAAGGAGTATTAAGTGATCATTACCAAAAACACTTTTTTTTAATTATAGGACTTAATAGACGAGGGTCATGCAGCAACTCAGCTTGTCAGTCAACTCCACGATGCGGTTGTAGAGAACAACTTACCTGATAAACAGAAGTCCATTATTACAGAAAAACTTGCTGTAAGTAGGTACTTTGCACATGTCAATGAAACATTTATACTTGAAGGATGCTAATTTCTGAGTTTTTCTTGCAGGAAGCTGACAAATGCCTAGCAGATGGTGCCGATGAACATTTGCAACTGATCAGCCTTTGTGCAACTGTGATGCAGCAGTTATCTCAGAACTGTTAGCGTCAATTTCTTTGTTTGCAAATAGAGGTTATAAAAATAAAATGACCAAAAAGCACCTTTAAAGTGAATATACAATTTATTTAACATTCAAACTTCATTAAGACATGTGCAATATGGCAATTTAACTGGGGATTAAACCCTACCTAGGATGATTGCTTGCTGGGGCTTAGCAACAGGGTCCAGTTCACACTTAGCACTAATTAAATACTTTATTGAATAAATACAATACCAAACAAAATGCAGTCAAATGCTTTCTAAAAAAAAATTTTAAAGGCCTTTCTACTCAGGCTAATGACAAACACAATAAAGGCAGATATGCTAGTTTAACATAATTGGCTGATTTTATACAGCACTTATATCTTTTAGTCCACAAGTAGATTATTAAATGATAGAGAACATCTAATACAACCATTTCTACAGAACTAGGAAATAAATTTCTAAGAAAGAAAGATTTTACAGACCCCATCTTTTATACCCACCCCAACAGTCTAACTCTAAAGAGGATAAAGCCAATGACTTTCCTCACAAGAGCTCACGACTAATGTCGCTTTGCTATCAAAATCTGTATTTCTGATCCGTTATGAGCATTGAGACAAGATTCAAATATTCCCAAAGAAAGAAGCACAATGCACGTTGTGATCGCCTATTCAGCAACAGCGAGCACTGCATCCAAAACTCTCATCCCAGGAATTAAATAAGATCAGCCACATTCATGGGCATCTCCTCCACTGTAGTATTGTAGAAAGTCTCAATGTCACGAAGAATCCTCTTGTCTTCTTCGGTAACAAAGTTTATAGCCACACCTTTCCTCCCAAATCGACCCCCTCTGCCAATTCTGTGTAAGAAAAAAGAAACCACAGTCAGAATGTTACTTCTCATGTAATTATAAACTACTGAACATGACGATCCACTTGTTAACCATCAGCTGCTGTTTACTTATCAAGGTTATAGTTCGTGCTTCTAACTGGAGCACTAGCTGCTAATATCTAGAGAAAAAAATCTTCCTTTGCAGTTAGTGCCAAAAGGATTCAAGGCTTGTCTGGCTGCAAAATGAGATTTTATCAGGCATCTTGAGCATTATTACAAAGCAGATGACAGTATTGTGTTTGGGGTAGTGAAATTAAAGCCCATACCAAAGTGGGCCAGCCAAGAGCAGGTGTCAGCCTGGGACAGATGTAAACACCAGGAATAAAACAAAGAGCAGTTATGTAATCCATTTCGACGCACCTCTGGAACTGTAAACTGTAAACAAATGCTGCAAAGGTTAACTATATTCTAAAACTTACTTTTTTCCAGTGGGAAAACAATTACTTGGTATGGTAACCCAAACTTAATCACTGCTTTTTTGCTCAGTTTCACACGTTGTAACTCAAGTTACTCAAAACGTGTTTAACCTCCAAAATAGCTACCTTCCATGTTAGAAACCAGACAATACAAACCACCTAATAGGAAAGGTTCCCTAATAGAAATACTAATAAAATGCCTTAGCTGGAACAACTTAAAGTAATCAAATAATCATGACAAAAGAAAAACAAATATAAATACCGACTCGCTCTTTATTCAAACAGTGTGCTGTTTCGCTTATGATTCCACGTCCTAAATTACGTCAACGCCGTTTCTGAGTGCCATCTCGTCATCAACTGCTGCTATCGACTCCTGTATTTTTTAAAAAGTCTTTTTTTACATCATATAACAAAGTACAATTCAATTTATTTAGGGATAAAGCCACTATAACTAAACCAGGGTTCACTCAAATTGCTATCAGGCGACACCACGAAAATCCCAACTATAAAAAAATCACCAAGAAAAAGCACATGAAAACAAGAACATCACTAAAAGCTCAAGCATAAACTAAGACCAACAACTGTGGGGAGTAAAAAACCTATGTCCACAATCGGGGCAATGTTTACAAGTTTTCCCACTTTGTTCTCTTCGGCCTTCCCTAGTACAAATTTAATTACATCTTACTGAACACTATTGACTTTACTCAATCTATTCCTTGATTTGACATGTACTCTTTCATACAAACCACATTAGAAAAACAAAGTTTTTTCCAATACAGCCAAGATGCTGGCTTCTCACCTGTGAATATAGTTTTCACGATTGGTAGGGAGATCATAATTTATAACCAAAGACACTTGTTGCACATCAATCCCGCGAGCCTGAAACACAATGGCATATGTTAAAAATTATAATCCAAAAAACTGAACACCTACCTAATAATGTAGGCCACAGAATAGTAGCGAACTATAATAAGTGGTACAGTCCACTGTGGAGTGTGGTCATTTATTCTTCCAATAGCCCAACCTGGTAAAGGTTACTTAATAAACCTTCCCCCCAAAAAGTTAACTTTTGGTAGATTTTTAAGAAGCACTGAGACTTACCAACAAGTCAGTAGTTATCAGAACACGGCTTGACCCTGATCGGAATTCCCTCATGATAACATCTCTCTCCTTCTGGTCCATGTCACCATGCTGCAAATTAATAAACCTTAATTCAAGAATCACCAGTCAGGTCAGTATTTAATTCTAATTAACATGTATGAGACCAAGCGTCCCTGGCTGCTACAAGGAGAATAGCAGACAGGTATAGTTAAGAAACAACGTTATTTTAAGCAGGGGGAACGACAACACAGCACTTAACAGCTATATTGTAGTCTAAATCCTGCTTTAGTGGAAATCTAGACATTTTAATTTAGAAAACCTCTTACCAGAGCAGAAACTGTGAAGTCTCTGGCATGCATTTTCTCAGTCAGCCAGTCCACCTTGCGCCTTGTATTGAGAAAAATAACAGCCTGTGTAATGGTCAGTGTCTCATACAAGTCACAAAGTGTATCCAACTTCCATTCCTATGTTTAGAAGAGAAAATTAACAGTCATTTAGTTTCCAACTTTCTTCAGTTAAAAATTCATTCTGGCCCTAGTTCAAATCCAGATGCCCCTGTCCCCAGTGTTTAAAAAAAAAAGAATTCACTCTGGTGCAGGTATGGTAGCTTATACCTGTACTCCCAGCACTTTGGAAAGCAGGCGGATCACTTCAGCCCAGGAAGTTCCAGACCACCCTGGCTAAGATAGTGATACCCTGTCTCCACCAAAAATACCAAAATTAACCAGTCTTGTAATACAGAAATTTTAGAAATTAAATTTATTCTGTAGGTCTAATGAGCTATTGCACCAAATCTTAAGACGAAGGACACTGGACATTAAGAAAGAGGTCCACCCGAGTCTTTACAATCTAGTGCTGTTACTTTTCTTCTTGTGTGTACTCTGCTAGCATTATTGCAAAAACCAAGATACAGTCCTAGTATCTGCAATTTTAGCACAGTGCTTATACAAGAAGGCAAAATAACATCTAACAATCAGACAGTTACCTCTCTCTCAACATTAATATAAAACTGTTTGATTCCTTCAAGGGTCAATTCTTCCTTTTTCACCAGAATTCGAATTGGATCTCTCATGAATTTTTTGGTCACTTCCAACACATCAGTTGGCATTGTGGCAGAAAGCAACACAACCTTAAAGAGAGACAATTATGTTGAAGCACAGCTTACACAGTAATACCCAAAGGACGATTGTCTTATTATGGTATGTAGTTAAGACAGAAATAGTTATGCATCAAGTGCTTTAAGCAGGGGGAACGACAATAAAACATGCCAGATGTATTTGTAACAGCACCTGCATTAAACCACATCTCTTTAAGAGAGGGGTGAAGTAATCCTTACCTGAATACTTGTATTTAGTTTTTGGAAAATCTCATAGATTTGATCCTTAAACCCACGACTCAACATTTCATCTGCTTCATCCAAAACAAACATTTTGATCCATTTTGGAGCTGTTAGAAAAAGGCCATATGTCATCTCTAGATCTACTGGGTGATAGTACGACTTTTCAACTATGTAACAGTTAAAAAAAAAAAGCATACATTTAAAGACAATACTTACAAAGGTATCTTCTGTTTAACATATCAAACACTCTCCCAGGGGTACCAACAACAATATGTGGTGCTTCAGCCTGCAGTTTTTGCATTTCATTTCGAACATTTGTTCCACCAATGCAGGCATGGCAAGTTGCTCCCATATAGTCTCCAAGTGCCAGAATTACCTTTTGGATCTAAAAACCAAGGCTTAATTATTATCCTGCAGAATTCCAGGGTCAATGACTAATTTTTAAAGCATAATGGCAAATATAATCTGGTCTGCCAACAGCTTTTATGCATGCACAGCACAAATCTACTTCCAAGCTTAAAATGCACACTGACCTAACTGCTTCAATGTAAAATTCCCTTTGTCTTTCTTGTGCCTTGTCAGACTTGGGATGCTGTTGCCCCACACATCAGCTAGACAATTCAAGAATAACATTTCCTACATTATTCTTCACTGTGTGAACGAAGGAATCCATAGTGAAATATATGTTCTGTAATTACAGCTAGGGCAAATGTTGATTTTTTTCTTCCCCAGAGAGTATTGTGCCCTACATAATCTTGACCTCAATAAAGCCTACAGCTTTATTAGGAAGGTTTACTTCAAAGCCAATATAGCAGTGAGCTTTGAAAACATAGCATGCAACAGATGCATCACAAACTACGGAGACAGTCAAATGGTAACATGTCACTGCAGTTTTCATGTTGCACAACTGCATTCAAACTTAAAAAATGGGGACAGATCTAGTATATCCAGAGAGCTTCCGATTCTCAAGCTATTCATGTACAACCCTACAAACCGTACCTGCATACCCAGTTCTTTTAAAACTTTCAACAAAAACTCCCTGCATGCATGGACAATTAAATGGAGGGATCTGGTAGGACCAATTTATACTAAGTTTTAAATTCTTCACAGTTGTGAAACCTGAAACCTATGCAACACGCAAGCAGTTTTTTTGAACTACACTATCAATACCTGTTGAGCCAGTTCTCTGGTGGGGGCCAATACTAGTGCTTGGGTCTCCTTGAACTCAATCTCCAACTGTTGCAGGATGGAAATAGCAAATGTGGCTGTCTTGCCAGTACCTGACTGAGCTTGAGCAATCACATCATACCCTAAAAAAAGTAGGATACATATTTACCGATCCCACATCAAATTGTCACTTCTACTTCACACCATGTATTCCATTTGGAACATGAATTATGCCCAAATAATCAAGTGATCAGCAATGAGTATTCTCTTCATTTCAGGTCAGTCCCGAAAGATGATTGCCATCATTTCACTTTAAGGAATACAAACAGGTGCTAGTCCCCCAGAGGTTACTTTCCCTTTCATGGTTCAGATCTATGTAGAACAAAAATTCATTTCCTAAAAATATCGAAGTTTCTTTTACCTTTAATACAGGGAATAATAGCTCTCTGCTGAATAGCGGAAGGCTTCTCAAAACCGTAAGCATAGATGCCCCGAAGAAGAGACTCCTTTAAATTCATATCATCAAAGTTATCAACAATCTCATTCCAGTTGCTCTGTAAATTAGAAAAAAATAATGCAGGCATAAATGAGATGAACACACTCACCTTTTCAAAGCTTCAAGATCCAAAACCGTTTCTTACCTCGATGACACCATCGGGGTCCATTCCCTCTGGGCCGCCATGTTCTCTGCTGACAATAACACTGCAGTCAGACAACATCCCTTCCAAGCCTCCTAACTGCATATTAAAGGGATAGCCCTTTGCAACCCGTCTCTGCACGTTACCCTTCCGTGCCCGACCTAAAGCAGCCGCTGCACGGCGAGTATCACACTGTGCGCCTCTCTAAAGGTTGGGGGCTGCAGCCGCCCGTGTAGGCAGCCCCCCAGGCCCGAGCGCACGGCGCTCCCGTTTCGGCGGCGGAGCGTCTCGCGAGAGCTCCGCGCCCTGAGCTCCGCCCCCAACAATGCGCAAGCCGGGTGATTGACGCGGGCGGAGCGGCCTGGCGAGGGCGATGCCAACGGTTCGCCGGCACCAGTGCCGGTCCGGTCCCGTCGCCTCCGCGCGGTGGCCGAATGCAGACCGCTGCCTCCAACCCTTCGCCAACTAAAGCCTAGGACCCTCAAGTCGTGCGGTTGACCACAAGGTTCAGGTCCTAGTTACACTGTACCGAACACGGTCTGCGCCAAGACTTTTTGCTGCTTGTTTGCCGTCCTCTACACTGGGAGAGGAAGCAGCTGAAATTTCCTCATGTCTTAGGGAGGAAAAACGCCCCTTGGCCACTGTTTCCGCACCCTCGTCCTGTCTCCCCACAATCCGGGCCCTACCCATCATGGAAGCTTCTCGAAGGGCACAGGGGTGCTGTACCCCAAGGAAGCGTCCATGAATTTTTAGTTTCTTGTTTCCGTGCCATCCACTATCACCTCCCCTGGCGCCCTATGACCTTCACTACAGACCGCGACCGCCAACAGAGCGCCATACCTGTTATAATCCGCGGAGCCACCAGACATGATCCGATAAACCCACTCAGCTCTCGACTGAAAAGACAGCACCACCGCGCCACCCGTTTTTTATAGGCTCGTGGCCGGAACCCGTTTCTCGCGGAGGAATTTTCTCACCGTTCTGCGGCCAGCCACAAAATTGTGATCCTGGGGTCATTACTTCGGATAAAATCCTAAGCAAGTCGGTAGGAAAATACAAATGTGGCAATTTCTAGATACTCCAGGGTCGCTGGAAATCCTAGGGCCCAGGGTTGGGTTGGGACTCTTTGCCTCGCGGCGGAAGAATATCGCTGCAGCGTTTCTCAAACACCGCGCTCCCCGCCCGCCCAGCTCCTACGGGGTTTCCGCGTCCCTGACGCAGAGGCGGGCCAGAGGAGCCCAGCTGGAGCCGGAGGCGCTGCTTGCTGGGCGACCGGGGCTTCCCGCGGGCGAGGGGTCCCGGTTCTCTGCTGGCTGCCGGCGCTCGGGTGCGGGAGGGGAATTCGGTTATTCCGCTTGCTCCCACCGCTGTTTAATTTGACAATGAAGACCTGCCTGGCGTCTAGCCTGACGTTAACATCCATTCAGCTCTCGGAAACATAAAATTCCTGCTAGGGAAAATGTCGGCCACCCAGCGAGTCCCGGAAAGTCCGGTTTACCGGTACATTTTGCAGCGCGAGGAAAAAAATGGGAGTGTCATTTGCAGATGTCTCTGGAATAGCCAATTCTATTCTCATATCGCTTCTAGTGTTTCGTTCTCTTTTTCTTAAAAAGAAAGCTGATTCTAACCTAACAGGTGTGAAGAATGCCTAAAAGAATCAAACTTTTGCAAATGGATAGAAGCCAAGAAGCAGTAATTTTCCTTGGAACGCACGAATGTTAATGGACGCTTTGGGACTACATTGATTTTGATTCCGTCTGTATTCATCATTTTTTAAAAAGGCTTTGAGTTTTGATTGCCGATATATAGTGAAATGTTGATTTATTGGAAT